GGGGATGCTCAGGAGAGGAGTATCCTAGACCCTTGCCTCTGCCAACCAGCCAGGAACTGACCCCCCTCCTCCTCCTCTCCGTGCCACTCTCTCTTGCCTCCTAAATCCACGTCCTGCATGCCTATCAGCACGCTCGAGTCCCTTTGTCAGTGCCCATATGGAAAAGGCCGAGCCATCTGCTTGATCCTAAAGGCCACCGTGGGTGGAATCTGCACACGCATCTTGTTCTATGGCTGCCCAAGGGTTTGTAGTTAATTGATTTTGCTCGTTATTGTAAGGTGTACCTGTGGCCTACTGGCTCTGTCACGGGCCTCGGGCAGCTCAGATGCATCAATAAGAAGGCTTTCTGGGCACAGAGGCCCATATCTGATGCATTAGGCCCAGCCTGGTTTTGATAAATCCAGACTCTTCACTGCACTGGTTTTTCCATCAAATGTGATTCTCTCCTGGTGTTTCTCAGCTCAGTGGCCGAGAGCACGCATGAGGACCGTGGGCTCTCTTACCCAGCAGGGGGGAGCAGGGACCGCATGAGTTCAGACCACAGGGCACATAGGGCTGGGAGCAGACGCTTAGAAAACCAGTGCCACACACCCCAGCACCTGGGAACCTTTGACTGCAAAGCCATGTCCACCATCTCCAGCTCCACGTACAGGCCTTGACTGGGTGGGGCGGGGGTGAGGCTGAGCTGATTTCACTGGGATGAAGGGGGACGAGGAGAGGGAAGAAAATCTCAAAGGATTCACGCGAGCGCGTCCTCGAAACGTGGAACGGTGGCATTGAGGGGCGTCACTGAGCCCCATGTCTGTCCTCACGCTCCTCTTTGAAAACATGGGCTCACTGACTCTGGACATCACGGGGGTGTCTTTCGGGTAACAATGGGCAGTGTTTCTCCCAGGCCTGTCCTAGGCCGCGTGGGGAGACTGGGCTGACCTGGGCCCTCTCCACTCCAGCTGGACTCCAGGTGTCAGCACACCTCCCAGACTTGGGGATCTCAGGGGTCAAATTTCAAAAACCAAACAAAACGCTAATGACACAGGGTGACTAGTTTATTTTGCTGGTCACTACCATTTCATAAAGGAAAGGATATTTTAATATCAAAATACTAGGAAGGATATAACCTCAGAATAAAGAACAACCCTTCTAATGATAAACTAGATGATACATTACCTACTTCTATGTACCTCAATTTCTGACAGATGGGTCAGTACCTCACTCATATGGTTGTTGTGAGGATTAACTAAGATTTTATATATATTTTTTTTTAATCCTCACCTGAGGACATTTTCATTGATTATTTTTTAGACAGAAGGGGAGAGAGGGAAACATCGATTGGTTGCCTCCCGCATGCTCCCCAGCCAGGGCTGAGGATCAAACCTGAAACCTCTGTGTCCTGACCGGAAATCGAACCTCCAGCCTTTCAGTGGACTGAGCAACACTTCTACCAACCGAGGCGCACCGGTCAGGGCCTGAGTTAATATTTTCAGGACAGTGCCTGGTATATAAATGTGATATAAGCATTTATCAAATTGAAAATCTGAATTGTATTTTTAAAAATGGAAAAGGCAATCAGGCAGGGGATTGGAGAGACGGGGAGGGGTGATCCGAGCCTAGAGGGGATGAGAGAGTCTTCCCCATGAGGACAGTGTCCGCGTGCTCTCTGCCTCCCTTCCGTTTCCTGCCCAGCGTGACCTCTGGGTCTGGCCCTCCCCAGCCCCATGCTCACCCCTCCCTCCCGCGCTCCCTCTGCAGGTCTTCGGGGGCCTGGTGTGGATTCTGATCGCCTCGTCACTGGTGCCCATGCCACTGGTCCAGGGATGGGTGATGTTCGTGTCTGTGTTCTGCTTCGTGGCCACCACTACCCTGCTCGTCCTGTACATCATCGGTGCCCACGGAGGGGAGGCTTCCTGGGTCACCCTGGTGAGTCCCAGCCTGGGATGTCTGGGAGGGGAGGGGGGATAGCAGTGTTGGACCCTCTTCCCGGGAGGCGGGCTTTTCCCGTGCTGGGCGAGGCTGCCCTGTAGACGTGGCCCACCCATGTTCCAAGTTCAAGCTGTCCAGGCAGCCAGGGCTCCCTGCCGCCGGGCGGTCTTCTTCACGGAAACCCAGCAGCCCACCCCTGCCCTCACTGCCGGCACCGGCCAGGTCCTCGTGGCCCCTCCTTCCTCCGGAGGGCTGGCTTCCACCTTGCCCTTGGCGTTGGCCTTGGCTGCCCGATGTGAGGCCATGCTTATTGCCCAGCTCCCAGTCACGCCTCCTCCAGCAGGGTTGCCAGCGAGGGACATGGAAGGGGGCGGGAGATGACCTGTGGTCTCCATCCGCATAAATTCTGCCTCGAGGCCCATGAAGAGGGTAACACTTGAGAACCTGCTGTTACCTGCCCTGAAGCGGGTGCGGATTTGCCTGGGCCTCTTGCCCTGCGCTGGCCACCAAGGCCACATCCTCCCTGGGACTGGGAACTGCTCAGGTCCGGAGCCATTTCCACCGATTAAATAAATGCCGAGCTGCTCTTGTGCCCCGCCCCCCCTTCTTGGTCCCACCTCAGGGGAAAACAGCGTCCCTTCTTCATCGAAGCCCTTGCTCTGGCCCCAAACCAGTGAGAGAAATCTCTGCGGGGAAGCGCCGATTAGTTTGTGAGGAGGGCACCGGCGGGGGTGGTGATGGGAGGGTAAGGGGGACCGAAGCCAGGCCGGGTGAGGACAGACGTGGACTGTCCCTCACATCCACGCCGGGCCCCACCTCTCTGACCCCGCAGGACGCAGCCTACCACTGCACCGCCGCCCTGTTTTACCTCAGCGCCTCCGTCCTGGAAGCGCTGGCCACCATCCAGATGTACGAGGGCTACACCTACAGGCAGTACCACGAGAACATCTCCGCTGTGGTGAGTCCTCCAGCCTCTGCCTTCGCAGCCTACCCCCCCCCCCCCCCCCACACACACACACAGGCCCCATTTCTATTGTTTCAGTTCACTAACTTTGAATGAACCACACCTTCCCCTCCTTTCTGAAGAAGCAAAGCCCGGGGAAGGGCAGTGATGGCCCAAGGCTCGCCTCGCCATCAGTCAGTGTTGCGCTGCCCAGGCCCGGGCTGGCCCAGGGCTGTGTGCCCGGCCTTCAAGGAGGGAAGAGACATGACAGCCGAGTGTCCGGCCTGGGAGTCCCCCGGGAACACTCTCCTTCGACCCTCCCAGCCCCTAGGATGTAGGCACTGTTACCACGCCAGGTCACGGGGGAGAACCAGGGCCCCGGGAGCTTGTTTCCTGTTCCCGTGGGAACTTCTGAGGAGTTTCTGTGGAGGGTTCTCATGGGTCTGGAATTGCCCAGACGGGGAACTGCCCCCTGCTGGTGGGGGAGGTCTTCTTAGGGGGCTGCGCAGACATGTGTGACTGCTCCTTCCAGACAGGGGACTTGGGAGTCCCCGGATGAGTTCTCTTATGTTTGTTATTAAGTAACTCGGCTTACTCATCGCCCCTGGCCAACGAGACTGAAGGGTTCGCCCATGTGTGGAGTAGGGGACAGAGCAGCACGGTGCCGCCGCTGTTAATGGGCATTTTCCAAAGTCACGGAAGCGTGGCCACCCTAAATGCTGTGCCTGGCTTGGAAACTCTTGACCCTGAGCCCAAGGTCATAAAACCAGGTGCAGATAGTTGACTTGAGGGCAGGCAGCTTTTAGGGAGGCCAGCCACCAGAGTGGGGTGATGGGAGTACAGGGGGCCCAGGGGGAAAGTCAGGGGTGTGACAGCCATCAAGCGACCAATAGCCATATTTCCAGGCCTTCCTTCCCAGCGCCAGAGCGGCTGGCCTTGTCTTCCAGCAGCTTTCTCAGTAAGCACCCCCTTTTGTGCAAAAGCTCAAAATCCCTCCTCTGGGTGCCTGCCCTTCACTTCCTGTGAGCCTGGCCCCTCACCCAGGCCTGTGACATGAAGAGTCGTAGAAGAAAATCCTGCTGGGGTCTGAGTTGTCCAGGCATCATCGGGACCTTCACCAGGGGCAACAAACCCACATGTTCCTATTTCTCAGCAGAGGCTGCTGGGGCCGCAGTTGGTGGGCTCTGGTCCTGCTGGTGTGGAGGAGGGAAGTGTTCCATGGAGAGTAGTGGATCCTCTTTTTCTGAGGCCCTGTTTCTAGATGGTGGCGCCCACATGATCGGGCAAGAAGGTAGATAGCTGACCTTGCACGCCCAGTCCAGTGGATGGGCTGGCCAGCTGGAGCTCTGTGCCGAAAGCATTCTGGGGCTGCATCTGGGCTCAGCAAGGAAGTGCCACGTGAGTGGTGGGAAGCAGTGGCTGGCCGCACAGGGTGGGTCTGTCGCCCTGAACGAGCGCGAGCAGCCACCTGGTGCACAGCCCGCTCCTTGCCCTGTCCCCAGCCTGCCCGCTAATGGTCATTCGTCTTGGTTTCAGGTGTTTTCATACGTAGCCACGCTGCTGTACGTGGCCCACGCCGTGTTTTCTTTAATCCGATGGAAGTCTTCGTAAAGCGGAGGAAGAACTTTAGCCTAACACCCAGATGTGCTAACTGACAAGCCCGCCTTCCAGCATAACTTTGTAGAATGCAGGCATGCTCTCCGTGGGGGAAAAAAGAAAACAAACCAAAAAAGCCCAACACTGCTTCTATGTTTACTGTCCCACAGACCTCGTGTTGGAGTTGGGGGCCAGCCACCTTTAACCTCCAACGAGGTCTGTCTTTCTTGGGTCATTTCCTGTTTTGGGGGGGTGGGGTGGAGGGCACCATGGGGGTGGGAAATGGGAGCTGTGATCAGAGAGACCCTGGAACGAAGGCCCTGCTGACGCTGGACGGATCTCACGAACTCTCAGAATTGTCCCGGGCTCTCGGAGCACCCATGTCGAGGCGTGTTTCTAAGTCTTCACGGAGATTCTACCCGTCACCAGGAATAAAACTCGCCCAACAAATGTTCACAGTGTCCACGGTGGAAGATGATAAGCCTTCGAGACACTCCATAAAGTGCCTTTATGTCCAGTGCTTTGGTGGGTGTTTTTGTATCGGGAATGCCATCACGTCCGCTTTCTTTCTGAGGCCTCCTGGGCTCAGAGTGACTCTAGAGGCAGCGACAGATGGCAGTTCAGGTGGCAGCTGTGTGCTCGGCCACTGCAGTGATCTCAGAGCCTGGCACTGGGCATCCACCCGCCCCAGCTACCAGGGCGTGTGCCAGGATGGCTTCATCCTCCCTGGACACTCCCCAAGTACCAGCCTGAGGGTCCCCTTCTTTTCCCTACAAGACAAGGGTCTGTGCTCATTTAGAACGTCTTTAAGCCACAGAAAACGAGGTGCAGAAGCTGCTTCTCATTCTCCGGGCAGCTGATCAGAAGCGCTCGGACGTGTGCGCCGATTCTGCTCCAGGTAGGGGCGTGGATAGCCAACTGTCCTAGTATTTCCTTGGGCCACTTCACAAGAGAGAAAGAGGACCAGACTCCAGAGTGCAGTGTGACAATGGTGAGCGCCTGCTGCGGGTATGAGGTGTCTGGGTTGAAAGGACAGGGCGGTTAGGAAGGAGGGCACTCAGGACTCCTGAAAGCCCAGCTCTCGGCATCAAATGCGCCTTTGTCCTGCCGCCCAGAGAAGTTAGTGATGTTCCGACTGGGACACCAGAGGGGGTGCCTCACACAGTCAGCTCCTGGCCATGGGCTGCACAGGCAGAGGCTGCCTGACCTGCCAGCGGCCACGCAGGGCAAAGGCTGAAGGGTCAGGCAGAGGTTCAACTAGTAGACTGTTTACCTCCCTTCCACCCTGGGGACCCCATGGCTGAACTGGGCCTCGGGTATTTTCGGGTTGTCTTTTACTATCCCAGGGTAATGGTAGCAGAAAAGGGGCACTTTTAATGAGTCCACTTAACACCAAATGTAAATAAAATCTTCACAGTAAATTAGGAGCAAAGGGTTTTTTTTAAAATCCTCACCTAGGATATTTTTTTATTGATTTGAGAGAGAGGAATGGAGACAGAGAAACATCAATGCGAGAGAAACATTGATCAGTTGCCTCCAGTACATGCCCCAACCGGGGATCAATCCCACAACCTAGATATGTGCCCTGACTGGGAGTCAAACCCTCAACTTTTCTGTGTACGGGTCGTTGCTCCAACCAACCGAGCCGGGCAGGAGCAAAGGTTTGATTGGGGTTTTCCCCTGAATTAAGAAATGAGAGGAAGTTTGTCAGGTGTTTAACAACATTTACAATCAAATGATTGAGGGAAGTCTCATTTTTTTTAAAAAAAAACTGCCAGTGAGTTGGCACCATGATGCTAATGGAACTTTATTTTTGACCCTCTTCCCCCAATCAAAAAAGAGAAGCGGAAGGCTTAGTTGAATTTCTCAAGGTTTCCACATTTTAATCCCACTCTTTAAACTTGGATATGATCTTTCTCTACTTTCTCTTTCTCAGTTGCAAATGGGCCCAACTGTGGAACCCTTAACCAGACCAAGGCTTTGCAGGGGACTCTCCCACCTCGACTTAATTTTACAATCGGCAGCTTCATCTGGTCTTTGATTTGCATTAGTTCATAATGGATGTTAATGGGAGGGGCAGCCTCAAAATGCCCTCCCCTGGCTTCAATTTCCTTCCCCACAGGCCACCCTTTCCCCCCTCCCCCATTGCATCTCATTGCTCAGTTCCTGCATCAGCTATTTTAGAAGTGTTTGCAGGTCCAAATACTAGTACTGGTTGATGGGCGGGCCTCTGCAAAGAATGAGCACTGACTGAGCACCGACTGTGTGCTGGGACCTTTGGTCCCTCAAGGTATGGGATGGTGTCTGCCCCCCAAAGCTTCTTGTGGCCACCATGCCTCCCCATTCTGTCTCTAGGTGTTGGGCAGGAGGGGACCTCCTCTGGGGCCTATCTTGGTGCCACCCCAGCAGCCAGTGGGGCATTCTTTATATGTTGCCTGCTTGGTGGCCCTGACTTGGACCAAAGGACAGGTAGCACCAACACCCGCCCACGACTGCTGAGGCCCACACCTGCATGTGTGTAACCATCTTTCTGCCATCTTTGGAGCTCTCTCCTTGGGTCCGGTACCCACAGCATATACACCTTACATACCCGTAGGGTCCTTTCATCCTGCCAGTGGCCACCGCAGATGACCACTACTGTCGCTTCACAGGTGAGGACGCCTCCACTCAGGTGGTGAGAACGGGAGCTGCACGCAGGTCCTGCTCCTGCTGTCCCTGGAGCCCTGTGCTCACCTACCACCCTCCAGGGCCCAGACCTGCCCTCCTGCAAATCTGTCCTCCAGCCCCTTGGGAAGTGACAGTGAGATGAGACCCTGTAGTGTGCCCCATGCCAGGGGGCAAGGGCCTTCAGAGGCACTGCCCCTGACCACTGGAGGGTGAAGTCCCAGCGGTGCCAGTGTCATGGCACTGCTTTGTAAAGAAGAGAAGAGGCTGATGTCTGCAATGTGACCCAGAGCCAAAGCTTTCAGAGCAGACCCCACCACAGTCACACGTGTGTGGTGAGGGTGCGCATCACGGGAGGACAGAGCAAAGACGGCTGTGGATCAAATCCAGCCGGGCTGGCGCAGGTCCTCGCCTGTGGCTACAGTGGCCGTGGCCCCTGGCTTCATGGGGACCCTGGTGGCACCTCCTGGGAGCCTTCTCTGAGCAGGGCAGGGTGGCCTGGGAGGGGCTTCATCTGCATTCAGGGGACAGACCCCTGATCCTCCCTTCTGCTCACATTGGTCCCCCCTGGTTACATCCTCTGGGGAGGACACAGTTCACTGGGGCTGGGCCTCACCGACATTCTAGAACAGAACTAAAGAGACTTGTCAGAACCCACAGCCTCCCTGTGCTGACCTTGAAGAGCAAAATGCTCGCACTGCCAACCGTGGGCGGAGTGAGTAGCCTTTGGGGCCACACAAGGGCCTGTTGTTCCGGGACCACTCAGGCCAGTTTGGGGTCACAATGGGGCCTTTCAGGGGACAAAGTGCCTCTGGCCCAGCTGAGTGTCCCTGCACATGAGCACTCACATGGGCACTCACCCAGGGCATTTAAAATAACACAATTTGGAAAAACAAATTACAGCGATTTCCCCCCCTCTGTGTGTGACTCAAAGGCCTTTGTGTGCCTCCACCATCCCTGGCTGTGGCCACGGCTAGGAGCTGGGGTGCTGGAGGCAGAGGCTGGGGTTCTCCAGTGGCTTGCTTCCCTCACTGTTAACCTGGGGAGTCACAGTGCCAGGCCCTACAGATACTATGGAGCCTGATAAACGCAGGTGCTCAGCTTCCACCACTTGCTTCAGCCAACACACGGTCACCAGGGCAGGAAGGGGAGACTTGTCAGCGACACTGGGTGCCTGGGCTGCTGGGGGCGCTTCACTCCTTCACGTAATCCTTGTGACATCATTTGTGCTCGATACCATTTTGACGAGGCATCTGAGAGAGAGGCTACATGACTTACCCAAGGTCACACAGCAAGGCGGTGCGGTTCCATTCAAAGGGTCTGGCTCAGAGCCCCCACGTTCCCGTCACTGCCACATCTCGCCATGACCGAGCTCCTGTGCCTCCGGGAGCAGCGGACACAGTCATGCCAAGCAAGTCCTTCCAGGTCACTAGTTCCCTGACTAGTGACATCAAAGGTTCCAAAGGGCACAGGGAGAAGCCAGCCATAGTGTCACGTGTACCGCTTGACTTGACATGTATATATACTGTGAAATGGTCAGCATAGTAAGTCTAGTTAACATCTGCCACCGCACATAGTTACAAATTTGTTTCCCTTACAACGACAAGTTTTAAGATATGCTCTTTTAGCACCTTTCAAATATATAATCCATTATTATTAACTATAGTCTCCATGCTGTACCTTAGATCCCCAAGACTTATTTATCTTAAAACTGCAAGTCTGCACCTTTTGGCCACTTTCACCCAATTCTCCTACCCCCCCTCCAAACCCCCACTTCTGGCAGCTACAAATCTGATCTGTTTCTATGAGATTTTTAATGTCCACATATGAAATCACAAGTATTTGTCTTTCTTTAGCTGACTCATTTCACTCAGCATAAGGAAATCACGATCCCAGAGATATCTGTACCCCATGTTCATAGCAGCATTGTTCACAACTAGAGGCTCAGTGCACGAAATTCGTGTACTGGGGCGGGGGGAGGGGGAGTCCCTCAGCCTGGCCTGTGCCCTCTCACAGGCCTGAGCCCTTGGGGGGAGTGAGCCTAAGCCTGCTGTCAGATATCCCCGAGGGCTCCCGGACAGTCAGACATCCTTAGTGCTGCCGCAGAGGCAGGAGAAACTCCCGCCACTGCCGCCGCTGCACTTGCCAGCCATAAGCCTGGCTTCTGGCTGAGCGGCACTGCCCCTGTGGGAATACACTGACCACCAGGGGAGCTCCTGCATTGAGTGTCTGCCCCTTGGTGGTCAGTGTGCATCATAGCAACCGGTCGTTCCACCGTTCGGTTGATTTGCATATTAGCCTTTTATTATATAGGATGGCCATGACATGGATGTGACTTAAGTGTCCATCAGTGAACAAATGGATGGATTAGTGTACATCTACAATGGAATGCTACTCTTATAAAGAGAAGGTACAGCCTGTCATACAGCCAGTACACAGAGGGACCTTTGGGCAGTACACGCTCCTCTTTTAAGATATCCGGCTGCTTTCTGTGGTTGTCACTAAGGCAGAACAGAGGGGCTGAATTAGCAACCTGCACTGATGACATTGCAGAAAGCCAAGAGCTGTCCCTGAGTGTGGGGACAGTGTTCAGGCTCGTGGCCCCTCAGAGGCCTCCAGTTTCTGAGGTTAGAACTAATGACGACCTGTGGACACTCACCAGCTGGAGTGAGGCATGGCTGTCATGGGCATCATGTGACAATCAGACAGCACACTCTTCACACACTGAGCTATGAATGTTGGTGACAATGATGATGATGGTGGTGATGACCACATGGTCATCCGCTGGCCTAAACCCTGCCCAGCTGGCAGGCCACGTCCTCCATGGAGGTGTCCCCACCCCCAGCATGCACC